GCCTCCCAAGTGCTGGGATTAAAGGCGTGCACCACCAACGCCCGGCATGCATCGCCCCTATTGTACCTAGAAAACAGTTTCCTTGGAGCCATCCATCACCTCTGGCTCTTACAATCTTTCTGCCTCCTCTTCTGCAGATCCCTGAGCCCTGAAGGGAGGGGTGTGATAAACACATCCTATTTAGTATAAGCATTCTAACCTCTTTCACTCTGCACATGGTCCATCTACTGCCTCTTGAAGGAGAAAAGGCCATTAGTATGTCATGGGACACACTTGTAATCCCCATGCTAAGGAGGCAGAGGCAGGAGGACTGGGTTCCGTTCTGGACTGAGCTGCATCGTAAGACCCGTCTCAAACAAGGAGAGAGGATATAAGTGTTACCATATCTTGACCCTTCCAAGTTGTCCAGCCCAGATCTCCATCCTGATTGGTTGGCTTTAACTACTAATGGCACCTCTACTGTAAGGCAACTCAGTTTTTGTTTGTTTTTGGTTTTTTGTTGTTGTTTTTTGTTTTTCGAAACAGGGTTTCTCTGTGGCTTTGGAGGCTGTCCTGGAACTCGCTCTGTAGACCAGGCTGGTCTCAAACTCACAGAGATCCGCCTGCCTCTTCCTCCCAAGTGCTGGGACTAAAGGCGTGCGCCACCACCCGGCTGGCATCTCAGTTTTAACCTCTCTGATCGTAGGCCTGTAGCCTGCCCTTCCCACAATTGTCCCATCTAAGTTAAAGATGCCTATCTTCAGCTTCTCTCTCCTGTATCTGTTCTCTCCTCATATCTTTGGGGAAATCCTGGCAGGGTTACCTTCACAGGTGACTGGCGTGGTGGTACATCCAGAGCCAGTCACTGCTAGCCCTTCATTACAATAGTCTCTGATATTGAATCCAGCAAATAGAGTGATTAAAGGAGTTGGAAAATTAAAAACACTCCCCAGACATACCTACACGTTGTTCTGGAGTGGAATTACTACTCAATGAAATATGGTAGTGTAGCCTTACAAAGAGAGGCAACCTCACATTGCTGCTGGTGTGGGCAAACAAGGGCACTACAACACAAGTGTTACCTGGCCGGCTTCATGACTGAGCAGCAGTGACAACCATGGCAAGCTTCCTGAACTCATCCCAGTGGGGCTTCCTGGGGCCGTTCCCCTAATCACCCCTCTTCTAAGCCTTCCATTGGTTTGTGTAAAAGCCTTACCCCTTGTTTCAAATTCCTTTGTGATCACAATACCAGAGTAGGGGCTGGAGAGATGGAGCAGTACCAAAGACCACTTGCTGCTCTTGGAGAGTTCCCAGCACCTACATCAGATGGTTCACAACTACCTGTAACTTCAGTTTCAGAGGCTCTCATGCTGTCTTCCGGTCTCCACCCACAAACACATGATGGTGGGTAAGAACTGCAAGGGTTTTTGTTCTGTTTTGAGACAGGTCCATGTAGCCCTGGCTACTAGCCTAGAACTCCCTCTACAAACCAGGTTGGTCTCTACCTTCAGGTACTATAGATGTAAACAATCAGGCCAGGCTCTGCAAATTATTCTTTTTTTTAAGTGTGTTAGATACAAGGGGGGGGGGATTACTAGGTGGGTTGCAGTTGGCATTATTGCTAAGAGTCTGCCCAACAACTCTGCTCTTGCAAACCATGCTATTAGCTTTTAAAGAAATGAACTGTTCGTTCATCTCCCCTCTGCCCCCTGCTCCATCTGATGGGAAAGCCGGTCATTTGACAAAGTCTGTGAGGAAACAGCACCACCTGCTGGACAGAGTCTACTCTGCACCCATGTTAGCATTAAATCCCTGGCTCTCAGGCAACCAAGGCCAGAATAAACAGCAAACCTCTCTACTCCAGAATTACTAATTAGAGAATCAGCTTTTGAGATTTCTCCCCCTATAACACAAAGTCTATTTGGCTTGAGATAGTAATAAAAACTGACCCACCATTTCCAAAGTCTCTTGGAAATGACAGGGGAAAAAAAATAACCATTTTATTCTGCCTGAATGTGTGTGGACCCCATCTCCAGCACCTTAAAAGATGTGGACTTGCTTGTTTGTTTCATTGTTTGTTTTGAGACTATCTGGTCTTGAATGTCCTGGAACCCCCACCCCCACCCCATGCATACCAGGCTTGTCTGGAAGTCAGAGACCCTCCTACCTCTGCTGGGATTAAAGACTCTCTTCAAGTGCTGGGAAATATGGGATTACGGGGATTTGTCACACACCAGGCTCTTTCTCGATTCCTTATTTACTAATCACTGTTTGTGGTGGGTTGAAAGAAAATGGCCCCAAAGAGAGCTGCACTGTTAGGAGGTGTGGCCTTGTTGGAGTAGGTGGGGTCTTGTTGGAGGAAGTGTGACACTATGGAGATGGGCTTTGAGGTCTTATATATGCTCAAGCCATGCCCAGCGAGTTGGATTTTGGTCTTGCTTCGGTCCAGTATTTCCTCACTATGCTCCCTTCCCTACTTTTTGGAATGGTAATGTATATCCTGGGCCATTATGTGTTGGAATTATGTGATCTGCTTTTTTATTTTGATTTTATAAGGGATTACAGTTAAGAGATTGCATGGATCTCAGACTTTTAAATAAGCTTGAGTCCATTATAGGCTATGGGGAGTTTTGAAATTGGACTGAATGCATTTTTGTATTATGATATGGCTTCAAGTATTTGGGGGCCAGACAGTAGACTATGCTGATTTCAAAGAAAATAGCCCCCAAAGGGAGTGGCACCGTTAGGAGGTGTGGCCTTGTTGGAGTAGGTGTGCCCTTGTTTGAGGAAGTGTATACTGTGGAGGGGGGCTTTGAGGTCTCATATGTGCTCAAGCCACGCCCAGTGAGACAGTCTACTTCCTCGCACAAGATGTAGAATTCTCAGCTACCTCTCTAGCACCATGCCTGCCTGCATGATGCCATGTCCCACCGAGATGATAATGGACTGCATCTCTGAACTGTAAGCTACCCCAATTTAATGTTTTTATAACAGTTGCCATGGTCATGGTGTCTCTTCACAGCAATAGAAACCTTAAATAAGACACTGTTATTAAAGGATAATCTGTTCTGCCCTCTGCCCATGAACTTGTCTACAGATATATAGTTATCCTTTCATTAGTTTGTGGTTTATCACCATTTATAAATTATTCCCATTTCTATGACTTACATGAATTTGATTCTATTTTCTAGTCTGACACAAAATATAAATCAATATTTTTTTCTATCCACTTCCCCGCTCTTATTTGCAAGACTTTTTCCTTTATTCAATGTATCTCCAAGATTATTCCTCCAGGATTTTCTTGATTAATTAGAAAAATAACTGTTTTCTTATATAGCCTTAAAAAATGGGATAGTCCTGGGTGGTGGCGCATGACTTTAATCCCAGCATTATTCGGGAGACAGAGGCGGGCGGGGAAAAACTCCTGCCACCAAGACTCGTGACCTGAATTCAATACCCAGGACCTCCAGTGGCAGAAGGCAAGAACCACCTATCACACCGTCTTGCCTCACACCCACATTCACACCACACACACAAAATTAATATGTGGACAAAGAAACCATGGTTATCAAAATTCCAAGAAACTTCACTCATACATGAATGCTACTGTCAGAATTAAATAGTAACAACATAGAAATACAAGTTGAAGCTAGGTAACGATTTTCATTTATAGTCTGTTAAAAGAGATGTGCATATCACACTCAGTGCAAAATCTAAAGAAAGTCCAGTTGTTCAGTTGCTCCAGGCTTACTTCCCTTTTTGCTTCTGGCAGCATAAGGTACAATCCACAATCTATATGTAAACTGAAAGAGGAAAATGCCTTTATTAATTAATTACACAACACTGACATAAAATCCTGTCAGAATGGCACTGGGATAAACAATGCTGTTATAAAATTTATATCTTCACAGCCACTTCAGAGGAAATATTACACATTAGAGCTCTTTGTGGTATTACACTGGCTTCAATAAAACGTTTTTAAAAACTAGTCATTAACATATATTCTCAAGCTACGTAAGACACAGAAGCCAATGAGAAAACAGTGCTAACACTGGCGGGTCAGTGGAGCCACTGTCACCTTAGCTGTCCCACAGACACTACTCCAGAGGCGGGCGTATGCGGCTTTGCACCCCGACACCTGATTGATCAAAGCCAATTCCCTTTCTCTAAGCGGAAACCGATGCCTGTCTCGTGCCCACAGGGAAGTGAGGCTGGGCGCAGCAGTGTGATTCGAACTCACAAGGAGGCAAGGTTGGTGGGTTCCTCTATAGATGCCTCTGAAGCACTGCCAGTTTTGAAAATAACAGGGTCTCTGGATAATAATTTCTCAAAACTAGATTTCCATTCCAGTAAAGAATTTGATAAACACCCACATTTGATTTGTATTTGCAGTTCCTTCTATCAAATACACTCTGGCCTCAGTAAGACTTACGAGTTATGGTCATATAAAGCCTCTTTACATGAATTTGATTTTCACAGAACCGAAACTTTGCTCACCTATGTGCCCGTGGAAATTAATCTGAGCACACATACATGTATATACACTTGCATCTGTCTGTGTGTACATATAAGTAAGTTACTTTTACAATTAGAATAAAGCTAGACATTAGGGGGGAACAGTTTCGTCTTCCTCAGAACCTGCTCTATGTTGACGGCAGGTATAGCTCGCTGAAGGATGTGATGAGGTTGTAGTATGTCTTCTCATCGTCTGTCAGTCCCGCATTGCCAGGTCTCACCACCACAGCGACGTGCACATCTGCTTCCTCAGCAGCACTGGCCTCTGTGAAAAATCAAAGTGCGGTAAGACCACCAAAACCTGATGCCTGAGATGAGCTAAGTCACCAGGGAATGTGGCACTGGCTTTGTTTGCAGCTAAAAGATGGGCCGTGAGGCAATATATATATTGCTCAAAAACACATGACTGTACTCGACAGACAGAAAACACAGCCTGTCCTATACTGTGTTTTAATTAGAGCTACTGATAATGGAACGCAGGCCTTCTCTGGCCCACGCTCTTTGTCCATTCTTACAAATTAGCCCCAGACAGCTGAGCTGTTTCTCAAAGGGCAAGCTGTAGGGTCTTACATCAATTAAGTTGATAGAGAGCAAAAGTGTCTTATGATCTAATCTAGCCAAAGTGCATGCAACGTGTCATGCCCCTTGCCTAGACGCCACATCTTTTTTGCCTGACAAATTCCTACTCTTCAAAATTCCATTCAAAACATGACAGCATCCAGAAGTGCCATCCCTGTATGACAGCCGCCCATGTGCACTCACACCCTATACTTAGCTGTCACAACACTGCGCTTTATTACTGTTTATCCCCCCTTAGACTGTGGGTACCGTATTATCAGTGACTGGGATGGTGCTGGGTGGCAGAGTAAAAACAAGACCCGGCATAATAACTTATGTAAGCTGGGTGTTACAGGAGATACCTCTAATATTCCTTGGCTCACATTCATCTCTCCATTTTATTTGAAAAGCAAAAGCTATCATCTTTAAAAGCATCTACTATGTGCTAGGAGCCATACTTGGACAAGATATATGTGAACAAACAGGGCTCCTGCCTTTGTGCAACTTACATTCTCATCTTTCCTAACAACTCAAGGTAACTTACACCATTAGCCCCATCCTGGGCTACAGAAACAGAGCTAAGCAAGGAGTAGGCCTGAAACTGTCAGCTGTCAGCCTGATGCAATGCCCAATACTCTAAAACAGTGGTTCTCACCTGTGGTCACAACCCCTTTGACAAACCTCTACCTCCAAAACTATCTACAATATGATTCATCACAATAGCAAAATTACAGTTATTAAGTAGCAAGGAAAATAATTTTATTGTTGGAGGAGCAGGCACCACAACATAAGGAACTGTATCAAAGAGATGCAGCATTAGGAAGGTTGAGAACCACTGCTGGGAAACAAAGACTGGCAAATCACTGCATGCCACTTAAAAGCTGTATTGGCACACGGATACACCGTCATTTGCATACTGTTTGTGACGCCTTTGCTCTCCAAAGGAAGGCACAATAGCTGTGACAGAAACTCTGTGGGCTGAAATCTATGAATTTACTATCCGGTGCCAAGTCTTGATCCAGGCACCAAATATTCTGCAGACACAGCATGCTGCAATTCCAAGAAGACTTTAGTTTCCTCTTTCATACTTTAGTATCATTTGGAACATCACCTTGGTTTTCTGCCCTGCCTTTTATGTGAAGGGATGGATACATGGTACAAAAAACCATGACAGAAGAGTAAAGCAAGCAACCTCCACCTTTCCCACTTTCCCATCTTGGCTATAGTTCATTCAAGTTCTGGCCCTTCTGCTTAAAGGGATGGGAGCCTGGGGAGCGAGGAGAGGGGTTAATCGATACCTAGACAAGGCTGATTTCCTTTTAAGGCCAATCTAGGATAGGACTATAGCCAGGCATGGTAGCACATGCCTTTGATCCCAGCATTTAGAAGGCAGAGGCAGGTGGATCGGAGTTTGAGGCCAGCCTGGTCTACATAGTAAATGCCAGGATGGTCAGGGCTACATAGAGAGAACAAACAAAAACAGAGTTGGGAATATCTATACTCTGGTTTCTTCAGACTGTATACATCTCCTTTTACTCAAGTTAGAAATTAATTTCTAGAACTTCAACCCTAGGAAATGGCTTAAATTACATAAGCAAGACTTGACTGCAAGTCAACTTTTTAAAAAGTCCCTAAAGACAAAAATATGAAGAAAGCCTAAGGAGCTCAGGGGAGTTGTAGGCCAGTGGGATAGGCAGCTAGTAAGAGCACTTGCTACCAAACCTGTTGACATGAGCTAACTATGTAAATGTACATGGGAGAAGAAGAAAACTTACACCATTCACCACCAGCCACACACTGTCTTCCACTCTCAGTGTATTCGTAGCACATGTCCCCACTCCCATATAATAAACAAATGCACAAAAAAACAAGTTAGATTAGTGTGTGTGCATATATATGTGTAGATGCATATGCCTGTGCACATATACCCATGGAGACAAGAGGACTTAATCTCACATGGTAATGGGTACCACTGTGACATGCACATATCATCTTTATCATATTACCCATTATCCTCTCACCCCCTTCCTCTTCCCAGTTAGCCCTTTTTCTATTGTCATGTCTTTTTTGGGGGGAGGGGGATCTCCCATTATTTTATATGTATATGTGTGTGTTTGTGTGCACATGCCTGTGCAGAGGGGATATGGTATCTGTGTGCATGTGTACATGTGTGTGTTACATGCCTTACTGTCTTAAAAAACGGTCTTATTGAACTAGAACAGTCCAGGCCTATTTTGGTCTCCTGTGCTTCCTGATCTGTGACTGTGTGAGAGGTGACACAGTGACCATGATGGCAGCAGCCTCTGAACTATGAGCAAACCAAACTTCTGCTCCCTTCAAGCGGCTTCCCTCAGGTACCACGTCACAAGGACAAAAAAAAAAAAAACCCACAAAACAAAAAAGCCAGTTACTTACCTAAAGTAACATCTGTGAGAAACAAGATGTTGCTGGTTGAACACCCGATGCTGTCTGCAATCTTGCGGTAACTCTCACTCTCCACTTTGTGTCCAATCTTGGTGTCAAAGTGGCCATCAATAAGCTAAACAAAAGAATGGGAAGGACTATTCAGTACAATATATGTGCAGCCTACCATGCCTGTTCACTGCAGGCCTTCCTCCAAAATGCAGGCCAGTCACAGTGACCTCATTCCATAAATGTCTGCTGAAAACATACCTAATAGAGTACTTTATGGAAGCTACAGAAGCAAAACAAAACAAAAGCCCAAAGATTTTATGGTAATAAATACTTCGAAGAGTTCTACTAGTTCAACCTATGTTTCATTTGGTTGTCATAAGCTTTGTTTCATGCCCCAAATCACTTCAAATATGCATTAACTACAACACGTTTTACATTCAAACTACTTCTTGAACTGGGTTTTGCTCCAGATGAAAAAGAAGGTTGTGTCTGAGCAGTGATGGTGCACATCTTTAATCCCAGTACTTGGGAGGCAGAGGCAGGCAGATCTCTGTGAGTTCGAGGCCAGCTGATTTATAGAGCAAGCTCCAAGACAGTCAGGGCAGTTACTAAGAGAAATCCTGTCTCAAAAACAAAAACAAAAACAACAACAAAAAAAAAACAAAGGAAAGAAAAAGAAGGCTGTGAACATTATCCTTTTGATCCTAGAATGAAAAGATATCTAGCTGAGTGTGTTGGTACATATCTGTCATCACAGCAGTTCCAGGCAAGCAAGAGGTTCACTACCAAGATCAGCCAGATTCACACAGCACAATTTAGACCAGTCAGGGTTACATACCCAGACTGTGCCTCAAAAAAACAAAGGCTATCTCTAACCAGAACCTTTCTTGACAGGTTATTACTCTGCTTTCACCAAAGTTTCATTTTTCTTCTGAGACAGGATCAATTGGAGCCTAGGCTGGCCTTGAACCTGAACTCCTGATCTTTGTGCCTCCACCTCCCAAGTGCTAGGATTACAAATGCACACAACCACACCCAGCTTCATTTCTAATTAACACATCCTTGAACACTACCCTTGAGGTCTTGAACATAACTGGAATCAAATGCTTGCTATTTTAACCAACAGTAATTAAAGTACGTTCATATTTATAGGCTCAGCTTTGACTGTCTGGATGTCTTTTGCCAACTAAAAGCAAGTTTAGCAATCAAAGACTAAAGACAATATTAAGGTTTGAGGTTTGGGACTTGTGAAGCCAGGTTTCTCTTTGTAGTTTCTGCTAACTAAGCACGAAGTCTTAGGCTAGTTTGTAGGTGGCCCCCGTCTCCACCTCCTATCCCACTGTAAAAGTACTGGGATGACAAAAAGCTATTACCGGGTCTGGCTTTTTTTAAAATGGGTTCCAGGAATTGAACTCAGGTCACCAGGCTTGCCTAGCAAGCACCTCTACCTGCTGAGCTGTGTCAGAGGCCCCAGGGTTGGTTGGTTGGTTTTTTAACTATTAAAACACTTGTGACCAATTTTGCATACTTCTTTTCTCTATTTGCCTCACTTGGTAGTTGGAAAATGGTTTTTACTACTGAAACCAGCAGGTAACTATTATACCGCACACATGTCGACCTTACTACCTTTCTCACTGGACAGAAAGTTTTTGTCTGTGTTGAGAAAATATTAGCCATCATTGATCTCATTACTGGTTTGATATCTGCTATAACAGACAAAAAGAACATACACTAAAATTAGAATATGGCACTACCCAAAAGCAAAATGTACCCTAAACATCCAAATGGGCCCAGAAAATATTACTTTTAGAGATGGGGGTAATGCTAAGCGGCAAAGCACTTAGTATTTCATGAAGTCCTGGGTTCCAACCCCAGCAACTTAAAAGTTAGTTGACCAAACTAATTCTGTTTAGTCAGCCCTTCTCAGGAGGGGAGGAGTTTCTTTTGAGTTGCTGATTGTCTTAGTTTGGATTTCTATTGCTGTGATGAGACACCATGACCATAGTTTTCTTACAAAGGAAAACATTTAATTGAGGTGGCAGCTTACATGCAGGCAGACATGGTGCTGGAGAAGGAGCTGCAACATGCTGATATGTAGGCAACAGGAAGTAGACTGTGACACTAGGTGGTAGCCTGAGCATCTATGAAACTTCAAAGCCTACCTCCACAGTGACACATTTCCTCCAACAAGAACACAACTACTCCAATAAGGCCACACCTCCTAATAGTGCCACTCCCTTTTGGGACAGTTTTCCTTCAAACCACTACACTGATGTTTTGTTTTGTTTTGTTTTTTGTATTATCGAAATAGCACATTTACTTTCTAGTGTGTGCGACAGTGTACAAATACATACTCATATCTCTTTATAAATAAAGTAAATATATACAGTATCTGGTTTTAGTATTAGCCTCACCAAAAATTACTTAGGGTAGATATTTCAATGTACTCTTGACTCCACTGATAACTCAAACTTCCTAGGGACTGGGTACTGCTCTTCATATTTTGATGTTGGAGATAGTAACTCACCATTATAGCCCTTGTGAGCCTCAAGCTCACTGTATAGCCAACCTGTAATTAGTTTGTTGTGTTTGTGTATATGCATGCTACAGAGAACAGCTTGCAGAAGTTGGTTTTTTTCTTCCATGTGGGTGCCAGGGATCAAATTCTGCTCTTTAAGCTTGTAGGTGAGTGCCTTTCCATCATGGGTCCAACTTACCAACCCTTCCTTATTTTTTGATCCTGGAGCTCACCAATTTGGCCAGCAAGCCCAAATGATCCTCCTGTTTTTGCATCCCCAGTGCTGGAATGAGAAGTATGCACCATGAAGCTTGGCTTCTGCATGGGTGCTGAGAATCAAACCTGGGGCCTCAGGCTTGCAGAACAAGCACTTTACCAATTGAGCTGTTGTCCCAGCCCCAGAATCCACTTTTTAAACAAACTTCTGGTGGTCCTTATACACAAGAAAAACTTAAGAGACTTTCGATTCAAAAGCTGGTACTACACAAAATATTCCACCTGCTGGAAGCCACGCAGAGCCAAGGCTCTCTCAGAGGCCCTGATGAAAGAACAAAAAGAACCTAGTTCTATCTCTGACCAAGGGCAGACTTGACAAGGTCCAATCCGAGGCTCAAAAGAGGGCCCTCAAAGGAGCTATGGTTTCTGTTCCTGGGAACTTGGCTTTCCCCAGGAGACTGGAGTTATCAGTCCCAAGGCCACTATGCTGCATCCCTGACACATCTAAGACATCTTGTGTCCCTTGTGCAATGGGCTTGATTAATTTCCTGCTGACTTTATCCCATCGTCTCCTTGCAAGCTGTGTGTAAGATGTTCTTGCCTGTGTGAGCGTCAGCTTGTGCAGGACCTCCTGACCCCAAACTTTCCTGGCTTCTCCATTTTCTCATCCCCTGGTCACCTCTCTCAGAAACCCGCCACTGAAGAATGGCCTGCTGACCCAGGACATTCCCCCCTCTATACAAGGTACCCTCAGTCTTTCCTCACCTTTTTACAATAGTAAGTACAACTGTCTAGTTGCCAATTTAGCTTTTTAGATGGTTTTCACTATTCAGTACTTCATGCTTTAACAGTATCAAAACAAAGTAATCCAAGTGTGCTGGTTAGTTTCTATCAACTCGACACAAACTAGAGTCATCTTTGAAGAAAACAAACCTCAATTAAGGTATTGTCTCCATCAGACTAGCCTCTGGGCATATCTGTGGAGCATTTTCTTAATGACTTATGAGGGTGGTGCCACCCTTGGGCAGGTGGCCTCAGGTGCATGAAAAAGCCAGCTGAGCTAGCCAATAAAGGAGCCCTCTCTGTAGTCTCTGCATCACTGCCTGCTTCCAGCTTCCTGCTTGAGCTCCAACCCTAACTTCCCCAAATGACTTCATGTGGGAGTGTGTGGGAGTGTAAGCCAAATAAATCTTCCCAAGGTTGCTTTTGGTCAGTATTTATCACAGCAATAACAAACAAATTAGGACACCAAGTAACCTACCTCAAGAATATCTCCTTCTGTGGAATGCCCAAAGAGCAGTTTCTGAGCCTCTACACTCCCTGAAGAGTAGATGTACACCTTCATTCCAGCCTCTCTCCACCTTCTGACAGCTGGGACTACGTCCGCGAAGAACCTGGAGGAAAACCCAGCAAGTTACAAAGCAGAAATACACCATGGAGTCAGATGAAAATCAGACAGTACATAGACCATGCCTCGACTCACAAGGTAACCTGAGAAGCAACTCCATGAAACAGGAAATTCCTGTGGTTGTAATAAACAGGTCACTGGAGTTCCTGGATCACAGATTAGAAGCAACAAGTTTGGTAGAGAGAATGGTATTTGACTTTAATAAAAAAAAAGCATGAAGGGATGAAATGAGAAAGTAACTAGTGGGTAGAGAGATGTCTCAAGAGTTAAGAGCACTGGCTGCTCTTCCAAAGGTCCCTGGTTCTGTTCCCAGCACCCACATAGCAGCTCACAAATGTCTGTAACTCCAGTCCTAGGGAATACAATGCCCCCATCTGACCTCCATGGTCACCAGGCATATATGTGGTATACTTACATACATGCAGGCAAAAAACACAAATAAAATAAATCTGAGATTAAATTAAATGTTTTAATTCTCAAGGAGCTAAAATAAAAATATGTACAATATTGTATTACTTAATTGATGCAATTTATAAGAAAAGCCTGATTTACCTTCACTGTGCTTTGAGAAACCATGAAAATGCTTTTCCCCCATTTTAAAAAAAAATATCTATTTTAGTATGTTTTTATATATATGTAGGAGTATTTCTTGCATATACATAAGGAAACACCCTGAAATCTCAATGCCTTCTTTTAAAAGGCAGGTCCTTGTATCAGACAAAAACATCTCATTAAACAAAACACAAGAAATACAAGACACACAAGCAGCTGAAAATGGCCTTGAATCTGAGAATTAACCTAAGGCAATTTACCAAAATCCTTAAGAAAAAAAAAGAACCTCTAAGGTCAGTTGAATGTGGAAGCACACATCTATAAACCCCAGCACTGAGAAAGCTAATGCAAGAAAATTCCAGTTTGAAGTCAAGCTGGGCTACACTACAAGTCCAGGCCAGCTAGGATAGACATAAGTTGAGACCCTATCTTTAATTGTTTACATCATGTGTGTGTGTATGTGTCTGTTCGTGCATATACCTGCAAGTGCAGACACACACCTGCACACACAGGCACATGCCATGGCACACATATCAAGGTCAGAGGTCAACCTGCAGAAGCTGTTTATCTCCTTCCACAATGTGGATCCTAGGGATTGAACTCAGGTTGTCAGCCTTGGCAGCACTCAGCCCTGCTCACTAAGCCCTCTTACTGGCCCAAACTGTTATGCTTTGTTTTTCAATCTCAGTAATACAGTACTCAGCAGGAAAGCTAGCAGAAATCCCATGACTGAGACTCCAAGATTATGAAGGTGCTCCAAAAGCTAGGGAAGTAAACTGTGCCCACGAGTAACTGCAAATAACAGGATTTCAGTGTTCTTACTTCTCTTTCTGATTTTGCTTTATGTGTCTGAGTGTTTTGCATGCATAGTGTGTGTATGTGCCTAATATCTGTGGAAGTCAGACTGGGTCCCCCAGGACTGGCAACTGCTGAGCCGGCTGCTGAGCCCTCTCACTTCTCTTATCAACTACTGAGAGAAGCAGACCAAGAATGCTGTCACTGTGTGAATGTCACTGGTATGAGTGACACAGATTAAATATGAATTAGCTCACAGAAGGTTCAGGTATCACAGACATACAACAGTATACCAGGCTGGAGTTGCCATGTTCTAGGACACTGTTTTAAAATAGAACTGAAAGTCTTTCACCTACCCATTAAACCCCAGATCTGGGGGACCTAAGCTGGCGACTGAGAGAGAGAGAGAGAGAGCGAGAGAGAGAGAGAGAGAGAGAGAGAGAGAGAGAGAGAGAGAACAATCATTTGCTACAATAAAAGCAATATGAATTTTATCTTTTTTTTTTTTTAAGATAGGGTCTCTCTATGTCATCTTGGTCTGCCTAGAACTCAAGAGATCTGCCTGCCTCTGCCTCCTAAGTGCTAGGATTAAAGGTGTGTAGTATCGTGCCCAGCAACTTATCTGTTTTTACTTATCTGTTTTACTATTTTACTGCAGTCTACAAGGGAGAAAGAGAACTAGTGAGGGGTGTATGTGGACTTGGGGCCTGTGAAACATTCTATCATTACAGCACATACTCTGCCTTCATGCGGCCAGCTGTGAAAGCTGCCTTCCACATGTGGCCCTGCAGCTGTTTGAGCGCTGTGGTCTTCCGATCATGAGACATCTGCCAGTACACATTATCCACCACGGCCTGGATCATCTGCTGCAGGTCATCCCCAGCATTTCCTGACGCCACAGGGATTGGAACGGCCCCATCCAGGTGTGCATCTTCTTCAGCCTTTAAATCAGAAACAGATCAAGTTTATTCATTTAAAGAGCTATACACATATGCTTGCACAAGCATACACCCATACGTGCATGTATTTTAAAAAGATACAGCAAAACCAGGAAGATCAGTTTTTTCCAACTATCAATTATCCTGAGAACTGCTAAAAATTATTCTTAAATGAATGATCTGGCAAAAAGGGATCGATCGCTAGGTAAAAAGCACTTGCCACTAAGCCTGTTGGCCTGAGTTCAATTTCGGGGACCCTCATGACCAAAAGGAGAGAAATGACTTTCTCTAGTTGTGCTCTGACCTCCATGAGTGCACCATGGCACGTGTACATACACATATACATAATTAAAACAAATTCATATACTAGGACTTTGTAACAATGCAATGCATTAAATGAACATAAAATATGTATGTATGTATGTATGGAACCTCCTTTTTGAGACAATAAAGATTAAGGGGAGTATTTCAGATTAACCTCAAGTTATCCAGAAAACTCAGCAAACCCAAATACTGCATGATTCAATGGATGGCATGATTATTTCTAATTCTAACTTCTTGCCATAAATAAAAGACACATGGACAGCATTCTACAATCCAGTGTAGGAAATGTACAATCCAGTGTAGGGCTGCACAACATGAAGATCTTTGCCACTGAAGTCAGCACACCATGCTGAAGAAGTTCACAGACTGGCTAGAGAGTGGCAGAAAGCAGTCTGTAGACTGGGCCAAGGGTAAACTGGTTGAGAAGTCTGGTAGGGTGACAAGATTCAAGGACCCATGAGCACTGTAAAGAGGGCAGTTTCATGCCATAAGGTGGGACAATAGGAAATGACAAGGTGCTGTCACTTGGTGACATATACGAAATGTGATGACATTGCACAAGACATTTTGTATTCCACCAGAAAGGGCTAATTTTACAAATACACAAGGCTTTCAGGCTATTTAAACAGTTGCTGAAAGAAGCAATTCTGCAGACAACGAATTGCTATGACTTGCTTGTTTTATTACAGGCTGTGAATTGCTAGGCAGGCAAGTCACTGCAGCTTCTAGACCAGGATCAAGGACACTGATTTCCAGTGTGCTCACAGCATGTTCCAAGTCTCTAGGCATCCTCCACTCCGAGACTCTGGGAATGTTGAAGAGGGAAGTCCTCACCTGTTTCCTCAGCAGGCTGACATCTTGCTGACATTCCTCCTCATCCCAGTGAGTCTGCAGGTACTCCTTAACATTCTCTTTGATGTAAGGGAATAAAGTGTCCTGGGGGAAGAAGGGAGGGAGACAAAAAAAAAATGTTATTTTTTAAATTGCACCAAATGATCTGTGTTTTATAATCTCACCTTAACTAACAAATTCAACAATGGAAGTCTCAACGGAAATTACTGCTGTGGGTCTCCCAGTGGGACAGGAAAGGAGACTAAGAAACAGGTATACTGGTCCAGCTTGTATTTATGAAGTATTATTGAAATTCAGCGACAATCATTTATTTTACATAGTCTCTGGCCACAATGGCAGAGCTAGGACCATTTAGCCCACAAAGCCTAAAACCAGCTCACCAGCCATTTACACAAATTAACTCTCAGACTATACTGTTAGACCATAGTCTTTTCGTTTGCTCTTTGCTTTTGTTTCGTTTTTATTATTTATTTTTATTTTGTGCGTATGGGTGTTTACCTTTGTATGTTTGCCTTCAGAGGATGTCAGATCCCCTGGAACTGAAGTCAGACATTATGAGCCACCATGTGGATGTGGTAACTGAACGTGGGTCCTTCGCAAGACCAGCAAGTACTCTTAACCACTAGCCCTCTCCATCCCCAGGCCAGACTCTTGAGGCATGGATTGACAGTGCCTTACTCAAAGTACACCATGGTATATGACTGGTATATACATGACAATGGTGGCCACATGGCAATGTAGAAAGGAAATAAATGGTTTTCTCGGTGCAGACTTCCTACAGAGCACTCTATAGCAGGTATGCAGCCAGGCATGATGCCTCTCGCTTGTGTAAGCAAGCACTTGGCAGACTGAGACAGGAGGAATGCTTCAAGAGTGAATTAACCTAAGATATATACTAAGTATATCCCAGGCCAGTCTGGGCTACAATGTGAGACCCTGTTCTCAGAAAAACAAAACAAAAAGAGTTAGAGAGGAGACAAAGTTATATGCAAAACAATTCATTAATAAATAACATGTCAGTAACTCATACACTGAGAGTATAATCTCTCAGTGATCACATTTCATTTATTTGGGGGCTAGAGAGATGGCTCAACGGTTAAGAAAACTGGCTGTTCTAGAAGAGGACACAAATTCAATTCCCGCATCCACATGGCTCTCACACCGTCTGTAACTACAGATCCAAGGGTCCACACACCCTCTTCCTCTGTCCTCCCAGGTACTTGCAAACTTGTAGTGCACAGACATACATGCAGGCAAAACACCCAAATTAATGGTTTATTTTCTAAAGTATTGTTTGGTGCCCAGGATTGAGCCCAGGGCCTTGTGCCTGCTAAGCACAACCTCTACTGACACACTAAACGTGCCTCCTCTTTAGTGAACATGTCTGCATATACATACATCTTTTCTATCATATTACGGCACATCTAACAGCTTCTTTTAAATGTCTACTGTTATCAAGGTTTGTTAACTGGTGCCTGAGGAGGAAGTGGAGAAGCAGATTAAAAGAGAAGGTGCGGCCACTACTGCCAGTGAGCTCAAGGAGCTACAGTTCACAAACATTTTCCTGCAGTGCAGAGAGGGAACAAGCAAAGTGCAGCGGGTGCCCGGCAGGTTCAGGATGAGGAGGAGGTACAGCCACAGATTTAGGTTTGTGCTCCAGTGCAGAACCCACGAATACACTGCAAAGGTCTTATGTTTTAGATGAAATTCTATAAGGAGCTAAATCCAAGGAGCCTGATTAAATCCACTCTATATATTCAGAAATCTTGAGATGTGGTTCGCTATTCAGCCTAGACTGGCCTCACATTTGCAATCCTATGCCTTGGCCTCCCACATTATAGGTATATGCCACCATGCCTGGCTAAATGTACTTTAATACAGTCTACAAAAGTAAATGCATAGGGTTTGGTGGGGGATTGTTTTATTTTGCTATTTAAGTTTGCTATGTAGTCCAGGCTAGCCTAGAATTCCCATCCTCCTGCCTTGGCCTAGTCAGTGATGGTACTATAGCATAAACTACCACACCCAGCTCACGTACTCTCATTTTGTCCTAGCAAAGAAACTGAAGGAAAGCTTGGGGAAAATGGTTACAGAGCTTAACAAAGATTCTAAAGCTATTAACTCACAACCCTGGAGTGTTCTGAGACCTTCTAGGGAACCTGAAAAGTCAAAGCACTTCCATAGAACACTAAGATGTTGATACTGACAATGATGATAAAGACACCTTTTCTAGGTAAGTTAGCAGAGTGACTAGTTTATCAATGGTTGTCAGTAACCTTCAAACAGGTATCAGTAGTTTCTAATAAACCTTAAGATGTCCCTCTCTCCCTCCTCCCATCCCTCCCTTTTAGTGAGAGGATGCAGACCATGGATGTACCACAAAGACCAAAAACAGCCATAAGAACCCAGACATTGGGGCTGCTCTTTGAGAGGACCCAGGTTCCATCCCCAGCTCTCACATGGTGGGTCACAACTACCTCTAACTCCAATTCCAGGGGACACACTGACCTCTTTGGGGCACTGCATGCAGTGTACACATACATTCAGGTAAAACACCCATACACAGAAAATAAATAAAAATTAAAGATTCCAGATATCTTCAATAACAAATGCTCAAGGGATATACAAAACTGCATTTCTTTTATTAGCCTTAAATATGTCTAAATGAACCCCACCTTTCCCAAGACACAGGGAATATCTCATGGAAGAGGAGGCAGAGGTTGGGGAGGAGGGCTGGGAATGCAGTCCTCTGCACACCCTGCAGCTGTTATCTGTACAAGATCAAGCCAGCCAAAATTCCAGCATGGATGGGGGAAGAGTATGCCAGAAGCCGTACCTAACAAAGGACCTATTGGCTGCTGGCTGTAGGGGGTCACAGGGGTCATTTTCCCACTGTTCCAATTTCCATTGCTGTGATAAAACATTCTGACGAGACAAACTTAAGGGAGGATTTATTTGGCTTATACTTCCATGTCACAGCCCCCCACTGTGCTGGCTAGTTTTATGTTAACTAGACACAAACTACGGTCATCAAAGAGGTGGCAACCTCAACTGAGGAAATGCCTCAAGGTTCAGCTGCAGGTGCCCCTGTGATTTATGGGGGAGGGCCCAGCCCATTATGGATGTTGCCATCCCTGGACTGGTGGTCCTGTGTTCTATAAGGAGGCAGGCTAAGCAAGCCAGCAAGCAGCACCCCTCCATGGCCTCTGCATTAGCTCCTGCCTCCACATCCCTGCCCTGCTTGTGTTCCTGTTCTGACTTCCTTTTGAAGCTAAATAAACCCTTTCCTCTCCAATTTGCTTTTTGTGTTCCACCACAGCAACAGAAACCCTGAGTAAGACAACCACAGAGGGAAGTGAGGGCAGGAACTCAAGCAGCATGGAGCAAAAACCCTGCAAGGCTGCTTTGTAGGCTCAGTGTGTTAGCTTTCTTACACAGTCCAAGATCACTGCCAAGGACAGTGCTGTCCAGTGAGCAGGAACCCTGCCCCCATCAATTAATAATCAAGATAGCCCCCGCTCAGGCCAATCTAATCTAAGCAATTCCTCAATCAAGGCTTTCCTCTCTGATGACTCTAGGCTATGTCAAGCTGACAAATCTATGTAGGACAGCCATGTGCCAGTGGCTGGCCCCACACCTGTTACCCTGAGCACATGTGCAGCATATTGTGGACCCAATAGGATATTATTTTCAAAAGAGGTGGGAGATGAGAATATAGAGTTGGGAAGGACAAATGCTGGTGTTACAGAGGCCAGAGTTGAAGACAAGAAATGGTAGGTGGTGTGAGGAGCAAGACAGACCCAGGAGTTTTTCAGAGGCCCCAAAGAAAGCACAAAGGGAAGGCTAGTTCAGGGTCCTTGTCCAGGAGTGGACTTGGCAAGGCCACTGGGGCTGCAGCCAGTGCCTCGGAGGAGTCAAGGTTGTAGCTTCTGGGGATCCCCCTCTTCCCGAGTGGGGCTGTGGTTATCAGTCCTAAGGCAGCTGAGTCTGAGATATCTTGTGCTCTCTTTGCCAACATTGTCTAATTTGGCTCTCTGCTGACCTTGGCCATTTTTCCTTTGCAAACAGTATAAAAGATGCTGTACTTCTTAATAAACTTGCTTGGCATAAAACAAAGCTTGTGCAAGACTTCCAGACCCCAGCAAAACCACCAGACCCCAGAAAGACTACCAGACCCCAGAAACACCGCCAGACCCCAGCAAGACCACCAGATCCCAGCATTTATCTTATCTCCTGGCACCTCCAGATGTCAAGGTACAACATGCTGCTCCAGGTCAGAGTGGAAGTGACTAAAATTGCGTATATATATGTAGATAAAATATTATTTAAAAATGCACTCTTCTAGCCAGGTGGTGGTGATAGAGGCCTTTAATACCAGCACTCAGGAGGCAGAGTCAAGTGCATCAATGTGAGTTCAAGGCCAGCCTGGTCTACAGAGCAAGTTCCAGACCAGCCAAGGCTGCACAGAGAAACCCAGTCTTGAAAACAAAAAAATTCACTCTTCTAACATATTTCCCCAAGCTGGGCATTGGTGGCACACACCTTTAATTCCAGCACTCGGGAGGCAGAGGCAGAGCCAGATGGATCTCTGTGAGTTGAGACCAGCCTGGTCTACAAAAGCTAGTTCAGGACAGCCTCCAAAGCCACAGAGAAACCCTATCTCAAAAAACCAAAACAACAACAAAAATATTTCCCCAAACTAGCATTGTTCACACTGACATTCATGTTACCAAAGTACTGAGGTTGACTGCTCCTATTTAAAATGAAAAGTCCTTAGCCATGGGGAGCATGGACCTCTGTGATTTCTAGGCCAATCAGAGCTACCCAATGAGATCTTGTCTTAAAACAAAACAAAGTCATAATATTAGTAATAATTAATGGGCTGGAGAAATGGCTCAGTCACTAAAGGCTAGGCTCACAACCAAAAATATGATAATAATGAAAAGTTCTCTGCTGCTCAGTGTTAATTCCAATATGATAAATACATAGTCAGAACTAGAGGTTAAACATTAATCCAGAGTAATTTCCACACAGATACATTGTGATAGGAAAAGGCTCTCAGGCAGGGTCACCTAATATACTCAGTGTAAAAAATACAGGATTTCAAGTATTTTCATACCACTCCAGATATACAATCCTATTCCTAGCAAAGTGGGCTTACTATGCTATGTAATTGAACAGGCATTCCAAGTCACACAGCACCAGCACATGCTACCATCATGTGTGGAAACACAAACTCACACCTCTTCTGATCCCACACACACACACACACACACACACACACACGGGTGGTGTGCAGAAAACTGAAGTTACCCCTAACAGCCATGGAATAAGGTTAGGATAACTAATAGTTAATAGATCAATATGAAAAAAACTGTCTTCTCAGCGTAGCGCTTTTTCCTAAGACCAAAACAAAGGGTTGGGTATACAATGAGAAGTCCAGGCAGGTGAACACTCAAGTCTGAGAACTTAAAAATGTATCTAAAAACCAAAATCTAAGTACAACTCCCAAATGAAAAAAAAATTTTAAAAAAACAAA